GCTCAGTCAGAGATCCTCACGCGCGTCTGCTATGCACGCGACTGGGTTTATGTCGGTCAGCTTGCTCGATCACTCAGCTTGTTCGATCACTCATCTGATCGATTGATGGGTGGCTCGACCAGTTCTGATCGAGCATCGGGTTGCTCGATCGCCTGCGAAGTCGAGCCTTGGGTTGTTCGATCGCTTGTGTGGTCGAGTCTTAGGCTGCTCGATCACTTGGATTCCCGCCTTTCGGCCTAGTTTGCTCCCGGTCTGTTCTTCCCAACCGGCTCACCAAATCGGTTCGTCTTTATACAGATAATATCCTATATCAGTATAAATTACATAGAAATTATTATTTAAATATCGGCGTTAAATGAGTTAAGATTTCGAGAATCAGAAACCCTAGTTTTATCCGGTTTTGATAGCCGGGTAATTTTTGGATCTGAGTTTTATGGATCGAGCCCTAGCTTCGTTTAAAAAATTTTAGACGTCGTAGCATAAATTCTTAACGTGTATCGTCGCCCCACACACGTGATCGACTCTCGTCCGACTGTTGGAGCCGAACCACCGAGTGCGTGCCCGTGCACCGAGCTTGAGTCAAACCACCGAGTGCGTGCCCGTGCACCGAGTCCATTCTATCTACCGTCTACGCCCCGTTTTTGTTAGCCGTGGTCCAAACACGCCTTTACGTCAGTGACCGTGGCACCGTTTCAAAACCGTGCATCGGCTAAGCCGTGTCAGCCGAGTTCGTGCCGGCCCAAGTTGCCACTCCAAACTCGGACCACGGTCAAACCGAGCTGCACATTGTCAAGCGAATGATCGACAGACTTCGAGTGAGCCGTCGGTCCAGTTCAGTCGAACCAGTCCGGGCAGTTCGGACGGTTAGCAGGGAATTTCAGTTCAGCCGAATCAGGCCGGGCAGTTCGGACGGTCGAGAAATTTCATATATATATTTCAGATATAATTTCAGACGTATTTCAGATATATATTTAAGATCGAATTTCATATATGTATTTCAGATAGAATTTCATATATGTATTTCAGATATTCAGTTCAGCCGAATCGGTTCGGACATTTAGGACGATTTGGGAGTTCCAGTTTGGAACATCGGTTTGAGCGTGAAACGAGATTTTCAGTATTTTTCCGAACCAGTCAGATTGAAAGCCAACCAGAATATAGTTCTAGACTTAGAAATATGTTTTCTAAAAGTACTTTTACATCTAGAAATACTTGTAGACATTTTTCATTCTATATAAAATTATTTGTGCCATGCGACAACATAATAGAACAATTGACAAGATGCTCTCAAGTGGTAACTCACAACAAAATAGAACAATCCATATACGATGGCATATGTGCAACTCTCTATGAGTGCAACTCACGGCAAATATCCACAGAGATTTTCTAACTCTCTCCATCCGTGGGAGTCATCATATCATATCATATGTATAAAAGAACATATGCAACTCTCTCCCTCTATGAGTCATCATATGCATAAAAGAACAAATTCAATGGAGAAGAAACACTTTGAGTAACCGATTGTTCCATTTGATTGCTTCTACTCACCGCAAGAAATGAAGACATTTTTGTGATGTAGGATTGAAATAACTCCCCAAAACATGAATATAGTAAAAGAATAGTGAAAATTGCTGGATTTTGTGCTAATAAATTACACGTGGGATGGAGAGCCTCTGCAGCTGCTGTATATATATAGCGCATAAATAAAAGATTGAATGGCTGGCAATCTCATTTTTCAGGTGCCAAACGGCGGGAAATCAGACCATCTCCCTCCTCGAAAACCCTAAAAAATTCATATGTGCAGACGGGAAAGCAAACAGTGACGGGCGACAGGTTGCAATTCATCTCGCCATGGCCGATGCCGCATTGCCTTCATCTGCTGATTTATCCGTCCCGAAGCTGAACCCGGCATTGGACGAGCGCGAAGAGGATGAATATCAGAGAGGCAATGCTCCCCTCAAGTACATCTCGCTCTGCGATGTCTACTCCGCCACCTCTCCTTGCGTCGCCTCGAGGGGATCCAAAAAGGTGAAGGCTGCTGCTCGCAAACCGCCCCAGATGAACGGCCACGACCAGTTCAAACAGCCGCACCCGATCGCCGTGAACCCTACACTGACTCATGTTTACTACAGGCGGCGGACAAGAAAAGAGAGAGAACCCTCTTTCTTCGAGGCTTTTGTCCACAAGCTGGAAGAACTGGAGGCTGATGCCGGAGAACATCTGGAAAGACGGATTAAGCGGAGGAAGAAGGGAAGTGATGAAGGGTTGGGTGATAATAGATTAGACAACATTGCTCAGAACGATGTTAGCAAAAGTAACATCTCCTTGAGTGATAGCACGGAGAAAAATATCTCTAGCATTGTTCGCAAAAATAAGAACACTGTTAGCAAAATCAGTCATTGCGAGAACAGGAAACGGAAAATGGATGTTTCGGAATCTGATTTGCAAAATTCTGTGGCGCCTGGGACGAAGAACTGGGTTTGGTATGTGCTGATTTTTCCAGGTTTTAATTGCTCTGGATGTCCGTTTGCTTATTCATTCTTAACTTTCCATCTGGTATTTCAGTTCAGTATGTTCCTTGATTGCAGGTTGAACTTTGAGGGTGTTGATCCAGAGAAATTTATTGGGCTACACTGCAAGGTAAGAACTTTACTAATCATAAAGTGCCTGATGCACGTGTGCACTTGGTATTGTTATACACATGTGAATTTGATTTATCAAGGGGATGCACCATCCTGTGATTCGACAATTATTCCTCTATCTACTTTGATTCATGAAACAAGCAATTTTGCTCATTTTTCATACAACTGAGCCTTCCATCTATGCTCGTGTTATTGATTTATGTAATTTTGAGAGTTAATGACAGGTATATTGGCCACTGGATGCAAGTTGGTATTCTGGCCATATAGTTGGTTACAATCCCAAGACTGGCCGACACCATGTAATCCTATTTTATTTATTTTGTCGTTTTTTCTTGGCTATACCTACGAATATCTTCAATGGGTATATCACTAATATATGGACTGTGATGCAGGTGAAGTACGAGGATGAAGAGGAAGAAAATCTGATTTTATCAAACGAAAGAATAAAATTTCACGTCTCTTTTGAAGACACACAGAGACTAAAGCTGAAATCCCATAACAAGAAGCCAGATTCTGATGGGATTGATGTGAATGAGATGATGGCGTTAGCAGCTAGCCTGGATGACTGCCAGGAGATTGAAACTGGGGACGTTATATGGGCTAAACTTACTGGTGGGTCTATATGTGCTTTTGACCCCACATGAGGTTGAAGGTTGATTTTTTCTAGTGAATAACATATTCAGACGATCAGTTATATTACTATTTATACTTAAAGCATTAAAGACGTACTGGGCTCATTTAGATGCTATATAATTACTTGTCTCTTTTCTGCCAGTGGAGAGGCGCATTATTTGTTTGTTTTTATTCTGTCACTGGTTAAAGGAAATAGTTTGATTACTTTTAGCTAGCTTCATTGTACACAGTTAGAAACAAAACAGACTGGGGGTATAAGAAGGCACACTTTGCTGGATAGTAGTAGGAGCCTCATTTTTACATGCTATGAAAATATATGAAAGTTGAAGTGTTTAAAATCATTAAACTATATGACTTTAATTCTAATTCATCTTTATTTTCACAACATGGGTTTTGATTGGTGCATCATATTCCTTTTATGCTTTGTATGTTCTGGAGGCACGGCACTTATTTTGAAGTTCAGACATTTTGTCCCCTCCCGTGATTTCTTTCTGTAAAGGTGCAGGGTCGGTGCCCAAGCCTACCCTCATTAATCCTTGTAATCTTAACTTTCTGGTTACTCTGTATTTGTCGTAAGATTCAGCTTTTTATTTGATGTGATTGCTTTATGTTTAACTAAATACTTAAATTTGTCATGTTTTCTCAAATCTGTCATTTTCTTTTATGCAGGGCATGCTGTATGGCCAGCAATTGTGTTGGATGAATCTCAGGTCGGTCAACGCAAGGGTTTAAAGAAACTTTCTAGTGAAAAATCGGTCCTTGTACAATTCTTTGGTACCCACGATTTTGCTAGGTATCATTATGGTTTTGTTTATGATTTTTTGCCTAGTGTAGACTCCTGGGACAGTTACTGGAATATTGAAATCTGAGTGGATATTGGAGACGTTATATCGTCTTCTTCATACTCGGCATTTTCTCTTATTTAATGTTCAGGGTGATGCGGAAACAAGTTATTTCTTTCCTGAAGGGCCTCGTTTCATCTTGTCATTCAAAGTGCAAGAAGCCAACATTTGTTCGAGGATTAGAAGAAGCAAAGATGTGAGTATTTTTAGCTGCAGTTCATGAAGATTATTCTTAGTTATTAATGAAAGTATTTTTAACTGCAATGTGAGAATGATTGTTTTTTATGCTATCAGATTCTCAATAATCTACTGTTTCGTGAAAGCTAGTAATTTAGAGAAAGACCACAAGGTAGATTCCAGATATTACTATAGTTTACACTCTCGATGCCTGCCATTCATTATGCTGGTATGAATTTGGTTAGGATGTTAGATTGACTTTTACAATTCAAAAGTTAATGTTTATGGAAGGTATCTACAGATTTTTATGTGGCATGAAAGATGGCTTCTCCAAATCTTTATGAATATTTCTAATAATCGATTAATTGATTTTAAAACTGCTTGGTCAGTACTTTGTTGTAGAAGCGTCATGTACAAACTGCTACAATTAGTGCAAGATTAACTAGAACCTGCTGATACTGAATTTCAATAGTGCTGATTGTTAAATGTAGTGTGAATTGGATTTTGGCCTGTCATGCTATCATTTGAGCTGTTGATTTTTTCTGTGAGATTTAGAGTTCAATTCATGATTTTACATTCTCAGCGGCATGTTTTATTAGTGTCATATCAGTTTGATATGATTGTTGAGCTAATCAGATGCTCAACTGCTGCTTATTGAGCTATCTGTTTGCCGATCATTGTCCTTCTGTCCCTTCTCCAAGGATATGTGTATAATTTTCTAATTTCTTCTGGAGTGTGTTATGTCTACATGTTATCATGCGTCACTTATTTCTTGTGGAGAAGATTAGGTGTCATAAATCATATAATAACTTATTAACTGGTTTACTTGGTTTTATCATTTCATTATAGTATTTCGCTGTGCCTGTGCTATTATCACAGTGAAGACTAACTGAGAATCTGCTTGGATCAGGTTTCTTACTGAGCATAGGCTCCCGAAAAGAATGCTACAGCTGCGAGATGGCGTTGATACTGATATGGGTGATGGTAAAAGTAAAGATGCTGAAGATGATGAGGGTTCAGGTGATGACAAATGCATGAGCCATGAAGAAATAAGCAAGAAACTTCTTGATCTAAAAAGGTGCCCCTTGGAAGAGGGAGATTTGCATATAATAAGCCTTGGTATGTCTAGCGGTGTTATTGTAGTTGCCTCGTAAATTACCACTACAATTTGATTACTGATTTTTCATATGGACATTCATAAACAGAAGGCTTTGTTCGCATAATCAATGAATCAGTCATTAATATATTCTGCATGTGAGTTTCATGTAGGAAAATTTGTCAAGGACACCTGTAATTTCCAAGATGAGAAATTAAAATGGCCTGAGGGATATACTGCTGTGAGGATGTTTCCGTCGATAACAGGTGAATCATTGACCTGCAACTGTTAATTGTTCTGCATGGTGGTAGCTGATATATTTTGTTCATTCAATCTTTTAACGCATTGTTTTTTTTTGACTTTTGGCCTCAGATCCAAGCGTTAATGCTTTATATAAGATGGAAGTACTAAGAGATGTTGACTTAAGGTTAAGGCCTCTCTTTAGAGTTACGGCAGATAATGGAGAAGAGGTACCACATAAACTACATACCATAGCCTTCAAATTTGGTTGTTCGTTTGCCTGTATTTTTAATTTACTTACTCCTTTTATCTTCTGCTGGATCAGATTTTTTAGTTTCTCCTTTTATCTTCTCTTCACATTTTCTTTTTCACCAATTTTCTGATTAATGTCTATTTACAAGTGATTCTGTTTAATGTATGAGTTTTACCGTCCGAGCTTATATATCTTTGTATGACTATTTAGGAAGTTGATGGTTCATATGTAAGATGAGCATTGAGCTGGTGAATCTGTGGTTTCTGATGGGGAATATCCCTATTCCTTTTTTTTTTTTTTTTTATTAAAATGACATCAGACTGTGAACTGCTTGCTGTTAGTTCTAGTTTGTGGAGAATTTCTTTGGGACCCACCATTATAAGATATTTTTTAACTGTGCCCTCACAAGATTATAGTTTAACCTAAACTTGGCATAACGGAGAGGTGACAAAACCCTATTGTTTTCAAACAGATCCCATAAAACAATTCGGATATGGAAAGATTTGAGGGCTTCCTATCCTCTTTAAGTCTTAAGGCACTATTTCTTCTTTCATCATGTGTGATCTGATGAGTATATTGTGACATTACTCACTGGTCAGGCATGGTCTTTTTGTACTTAGGTATATGCTCTGTTTCAACCTAGGATGTTTAGAGTGATCATCATTGGATTGATTTTCAATCTGCCTCAAGTCCAATATATTGTTGAGTGAGACATATATAAAGTTAATCTCATCAATCTGTAATTGCAACGTCTTTTTCCTTGCTCGAAATGTAGTTGGTCAAGAGGTATCGGTAGCAAACTTACTAGAATGAGCCTTCTGTTATCCTTCGAAGAGAGGATCTCCTTGATTCAGCTGTTTGAAAGTTGTAAGGAGGGTAAGTAAGGCCAATCAAAGTTGCCCTTATACAATGAATAGCATTCCTGGAAAATTGTGGTGAAGGCTGCTCATCAGGAGAAAGATTTCTTTTCTTTGTTCTAAAGATATGTGGCTATGTCAAAGAAACTAAATGGAATCTATTCACCTAGATGGTTGATTAGGCCGAAAGGTGTATTTTGGGGAGCTCACCCGAAATTCCTGTACTGCTGCTACTTATTGTTGGTCCAATGAGTGGAGCATTCTAGCTTTTCCAAAATTCAAATAGTTTATTCCATTCTTTGAACGTTCTTTTGCTTTTAGGGGGTAAGAATGGGTAGTAAAAAGTAATAGTACAAAAAGGAACACTTAAGTAATAGTACAGCCATAAGAGCTCAACACATAAGAATGTTAGTTCCTCTATATTTTTCAAGTAAAAAGTGAAGAAATTTTATCAAGCTAAAGTTTAAGCGAAGGTTCCATGGAAGGCAATTTTGAATAATGGTTACAGCAGAGGATTATCTTCATCATTGATCTGTTGCTCATGTTAGTTGGGATACATATTATTTCTTGGATTTCTTGTCAACTTGAACTTTTACTGGAGGGTGAAGATAGCCAGTTTGTTGTGCATTGTGAAAGGTTGAGTTAGCCATGAAAAGGAAGGTTTCAAGTTACCACAAGCACCTAGCTCAAGTGGTAGCTTTCTTCCTTAAAAAAGGGCATACCCCACCAGGGTTCGAACTTGTATATTGTTGTTTATTTGCTTCTTATTATTCCTTCCCCTCTACAATACCCCCAAGTATTAAAAGAAGTAAAGGTTTGAAGTTTGAATACGTACAGAGATCTTTTCTATTTTAATTGAACAATTTGTTTATGATTTTTTAATCAGATATTAAATATACTTGTTTCCTCTTGGCCGTTCTATAAGATACTCTGGAAATAATTTATTTATTTCCCTCGCATTTATTTTGTTCTTCTTTTATTTGATAGTCTGATTTGTCCCCCATTAAATTTACCACAAGTCTGACCATTTCCCTTCCCTAGTATATTGCTGCCTAATTTACGAATCTGCTTATTCAGTGTTGTTCTTTTTGTTGAATACTTTTATTACACAGTTCAGTGGCCCGACTCCATCTACTTGCTGGAACAACATATACAAAAGGATCAGGACAGCACAAATCAGAAATGGGGACTATAAAGCAGATCAGAGTTTTGCGTCTGGCTCTTTTATGTTTGGTTTTTCTCATTCAAAAGTTTCCAAACTCATAAAGGTACTAATTGCCACTGTTTATTACTTTCTGAGAGCCTATTGTGCCGGTAATTGCAAATTAGATTTGTTTCGCAATCATCTTTTTCATTTTGAATTCGTCTTCCATTTATGTATTACAATGAAACATTCACTTAAGAAATTCCGCTACATCTATATTTGTCTTAGACTCTTAAATAGCGAAGGCTTTCATCGGAACATTTCTATGCTTGTGGATGTCATTTTTTATATCCATATTTGTTTGAACAGTTTGCCACTTTGCCTAATATTCCAATTTAAAGATAAGAAAATCTATAAGATACATTCTCTTTTGAGTTCTGGATTTTTCAAGTAAGTTCGTCCTTCCTATTGTGGATCTCGTAATTTTTATTATTAAGAATACATTTGATGGTGGAACTCTTGAGAATTTATGACTGGTAATGCCTGTTGAACTGCATTAAACATTGCATATATGCCATATGTATGGTCATGGTTGCAAATTGACCATTCCACTATACATTTCCATTTTGCAATGTTTCTTATATATTAAAACTCGTTTGTCTTATAATACTGCATTCTTTATGTTCATGGCAGTCACATTTGTCTTTGACCATCTGCTCATTTATGTCTTACTTATGATTAAGTTGAAAGTCCTATATTTCATGCTTCCTGGATATTTCTTCCATGTTGCTCCTTTCCTATTAATCTAGGTCTTATATTTACAGGAAATGTCACGTTCCAGGTCATCATTGAAATCTTTGCAGTTGGAATCCAGGAAATCCAAACATGATGGTTACAGAGAAGTTCATGTTGCATGGAGGGACCTTGATAAGTGCAATGTTTGCCATATGGATGAAGTGGGTGTTTTTATTTTTTTATTTTTTTATTTTATTATTTTTTTTTCTTTCTGAGGGGGTTTTTCTCCAGGTTTTGACTTGGATTAGCTTTGTTATCTAAGCGAAGGCTTGACTTTGGCTCTTCATTTGCATTTTATCCCCGCCGAACCTAGAGAGCCAAAGTTACCTTCCAAGTTATAGTTCTCTGTGTTTATGTATAATTAGGTTATCATCTTCTTATTTTTCTTGCAAAATAACCTATAAATCTTTTAGCCTTCTAACGTGAAATATTTGCTTCAGGAGTACGAGAATAATCTGTTTCTTCAGTGTGATAAATGCAGGATGATGGTGAGTCTTTTTCTTTTTTGTTCCCTTATCCTTTTGTCTTTGACTGAACTTGTCCGTTTCTCCAATTTTGTGTATCAATACAGTGAGTTGGTTCTTCCTGCGGTACATTTCTATTAGTAGCATTGCCACTAGTTATTGAAATAATGGGAAGCTATCAGGGTATGTTTAACTTTCAAATGACTGTTTGTAAGGGATTTTTCCATGCGTCTAGTGTTTTCTAGATTTGCATGATGTGTTTTGTGGCCTCACGGTGAAACATAAAAAACCTAGTTCGTCTAGGTTTATCTGCAACATTAGATGATATAGTGGTTCTACTATGAGCATGTGGGATTTTTTTGTCATATGTTTATTTAGAAGTATATGTAATAGCTTTAACCTCCTACAAGCCTAGTTAAGGGTGACAATTTTTTCTCTGTTTCCCTCATATATTAAGCTACAGAAGCTTGATCTGTAAAATTTAGATCCAGCAATAAGCAGTTGATAGCTACAAAAAGTCAGAAGCTTGACCGTCAGTTCATATTTTTACTTGCAACACCATTACTCTTAGCAAATTGGCCACTGCAGTGTGTCTGATTTCCATTAATGAGCTGTATTTTCTTGGCATGTTAAAATGACTGAAGTATCAGCTTTTGTGATGAGTTTCTACAGATCCATTATTTTCATCAGCATGCTACGGTTGCCTTCCAGCATTCTGACTTGCTTGGATGTGTGCAAATTCCTTGTCCTTCAGCATCCTCACTTGCTTGGACATTTCATAATGATGCATCATGTGCTAGTTGTAAATAAGATGGTGTTAGGAGTTGTGTTTGTTCTGCACCTTGCATTTCCGGGAGCCTGGAGTATTAGTGTGTGCAAATGTGAGTTGGGCGCCTATGCGCCTTGTCTGTTGAGCTAACTTTGGGGGTGATTCCTACCCAAGCTGACTTATCATGGTATCTGAGCACTTAGAGCATGATTGGATATAAATTTTTTTTGTTTGGTTTGGTTAGTTTTGAAAAAGTTGGTATGGTTAGTTGTTAGTGAGTATATTAAAATAATATTTAAAACTAAATGATTAAAGTTGATTTGATGTAAAGTAGGAATGAGAAGATTTGAAGTGATAGTTAAAATTATGTGAGTGGATGAATAGTGAATTAAGGTGGTATGGTGTGTAAGAATGATTGATTTGATATTATTTATATATTGATGATATTGATGATTGTGGGGTTGAGTTAAAAATGTTGGGATATTTTTGAGATAATTTTGTATCCAATCATGCTCTTAATCCTCTTGTTTGGAGATGGCCCCTGGTTTGGAACTATCCCCGTTTGAATCATCATTCTTGATGTATCGGTTGTTAGATAATAATTGTACTTATCCACCTTGGCAGATTGCTGGGCTGTTATTATGTATAAATGTGGGTTAGACACCTTCTCTAATTTGTGTAACTTTATCGGGATGAGTTCTACCCGAATCGATTTACCAGATGGATTGCAATCTCAAACTTTCCTCAAATTCTATTTTTTTTATTTGGGTTTAATATTTTTCGTCCTACCATATTTGTTCAGGTTCATGCTAGATGTTATGGAGAACTTGAGCCTACTGGTGGCATTCTTTGGTTATGCAATTTATGTCGTCCTGGAGCTCCTGAATCTCCTCCTCCATGCTGCCTGTGTCCTATAGTAGGTAATTGACAGGTGTCTGTGTATTTGTATTTCTTCATTTGTTAGGGCGATTTAGGGGCATTTACTGCTGTAATTGAAATGAAACATCATCTAATAGTGTATGTGAATTTGCTCAGGAGGTGCTATGAAGCCCACCACTGATGGACGCTGGGCTCATCTTGCTTGTGCTATATGGATTCCAGGTTTCTATTGTGTGATTTACAAATATATGCGTACACTCGCATTTACTTTTTTGGCATGAAATGTTTGGACTTATTTATGTAATCTATTTTTATGCAGAAACCTGTTTATTTGATGTGAAGAAGATGGAGCCTATTGATGGGCTTTCTAGAATCAACAAGGTAACTCTTTTTCCTAGGTTTCCCAGTGGAGATTATTTCTTTAGTTCCGACTTCCTCAAAATGGAAACACATAGAACACAAGTGTTTGCATAAAGTCTTACTACAATTTCCTGCAAAGATTTCGCACATCTTATGACAATCCCTGCAAAAAATTAACAGATATACAATATTATTAGATTATTTGTCAGGTAATTATTTCATACTAAGAATCCTAAATATTAGTTTCTTCTTTGTTTCTATAAAGGATCGGTGGAAGCTATTATGTAGCATCTGTGGTGTTCCTCATGGAGCTTGTATCCAGGTACCTTATTCTTTTTCTTTGACTTAGCTGCTTCTCTCTCTCCCTCTCTCTCTCTCTCTCTCTCTATCTCTCTCTGAAAAATTAAAATGCTCCATTACTTCCTATCCTTTTTGTTAATTTAATTTTTTTGGTGGTGAAGTTGATATTACATGGTTAAAAGGGTGTTGGAAAATGAATGTTTCATCTATAAATGTTTGTCGATTGTCGTGGTAAAGCCATTTCTTCATTAACATGAGTGAATTCATTTTAAGACCTCAAAAATATGATTTTGATGTATTTATGCCTAATAATATATTGTAGGAACAGTCTTAGGTTAGTTCAGTTCGTTCACATGGCATGTATGGTCATGTCTGTTCGTACAGCAATATTTTTAATTAAGGAGCCATTGTTTCTCTTTCCTGCTTAGGAATCGGCACTGCTGATGCTACTGTTTTTTATCCTTATCATAAGAAATGGAAGTTGATTCATTTGTGCAGTTTCCAAATTTTAATGGAGCAAAATGAGATGATATAATGTTCTGGTCATTGTCTGAGAGTAGAACTATCTGATTTGTGTGTTGATCTATCTCGATTTAATGTTTCTTTTAAAAGATTCAATGTAGTTTCAGTTATGTATTGCTTTGTGCTACCATTTCATTATCTTTAATTATTTTGCAGTGCTCAAACAATAATTGCCGCGTGGCATACCATCCTCTCTGTGCTCGTGTTGCTGGTTTTTGTCTTGAGGTGTGAAATGTCTGCTCTACTTTCTTCAGCAATTATTCATTCTACGAGAACTTGTTCACGTTTTATACTTGATTTTCGGACACTGGTTGGCTTTGACTGCTAATTCATTCTCACCCCATGCATGTCATTTGCATGTTCTTTAAAGCCCGAGGATAAGGATAGACTGCATTTGATTCCTTTTGATGAGGATGAGGAGGATCAGTGCATTCAACTACTCTCTTTCTGCAAGAAGCATAGGCCCTCATCTAATGAACGTTTGCCTTTTGATGAACAATTTGGACAAAAAACCAGTGAAAAAGTAGAATTTATCCCACCGATAAATCCCTCTGGCTGTGCTCGTACTGGTAATACCATTTCTTGTCTTATTAATTTTATAATTTTATTGATATTCTGTTGTACTTTCTCAATTGTTTTTGTATTTTCTTTGCGCAAGAGATCTGATGGAGTGGGGAAGAAGATAGACTAAATGTAGAGAGAGAGTTCTGTTGTACTTTCTCAATTGTTTTTGTATTTTCTTTGCGCAAGAGATCTGATGGAGTGGGGAAGAAGATAGACTAAAAGTAGAGAGAGAGAGAGAGAGAGAGAGAGAGAGAGAGAGAGAGAGAGAGAGAGAGAGAGAGAGAGAGAGAGAGAGTACTTATCCAGCAATATCTCCTACTTATCTACCAGCTTGGGGCCTCAATTTCCCCAACGTCGCTAATGAAATTACAATAACGATAAGGCATGACTTAAATAGCGGAAATATAATAAAAAAACGACTGATAATTCTCCGGCAGCCCATATGTAGCAATATCTCCTACTTATCTACCAGCTTGGGCCTCAATTTCCCCAACGTCGCTAATGAAATTACAATAACGATAAGGCATGACTTAAATAGCGAAAATATAATAAAAAAACGACTGATAATTCTCCGGCAGGCCATATGTAGTTACTGATGTCTTCCACTTCACCTTTCAAAATTGATGCCCTGCCGCTACATGTCCTTTCATTGTCAAAGTTTCCTTCCCAATTGACCCGCTTTTCCCTAATTTTATTCCTTTTTTATCCTTTTTTTCACATCCTGAACCGTTATCCTTTCGATCCATCCTGAATCCACAACATATTTAATTATTTATGAATATAAGTTTGATAGGTGATTGGCAATGATTGAGAAATGGGTAGCTTTCATTTGATCCTTTCAATGGTATATTTTGTAGTTAGCTTTGACATTGTTTTTTCACTACTCTGGAATTGTATAATTGACTCACTTCTGGGTCTGTGTATTTGGTTTCTTTATACGCGCTTTAGAAGAATTGCCTTATGGAAATACATTAGCGTCATCTTTTGGATATTTTATTTCTTTTTTCTCTTTGTAAATAGAGCCTCTTATATTTTCCAAAAGGCGGGGAAGATATGATCCTGAGGTCCCTTCTGCTTCTTTCAAGCGCTTGTATGTGGAGAACCAGCTGTACTTGATTGGTGGGTGCAGTCCTCGTATGCCATTATGGAACGCAACGTCCTCCGATAAATTCGGTGGTTCTAAGTACTCTACTCACCTTCAGAAGCTACAAATTTTGCAACTCGAACCATCTGGAAAGATTCTTTCTCTGGCCGACAAGTACAACTATATGAGAGATACTTTCCGAAAGAGACTGGCAATTGGTAAATTTGCAGTAAATTGTTATCATGCTCTGAAAAGAAATAATGCCTCCTACTTGGTCTGGAATGTGCATTAGAGTGCCATTAATATTTTTCGTTGTTTCTTATTTTTCTATTTTTATGTATATAAAAATTTTTAATTTGAAGGAGCTTCTGTGTATTTTTTCCTCAAAACTAAAATATCTAATATTGACCTTGCTGATAGCCTTCATATAGTATCCATGTCAAATAAAATGTATAAGGTGGCAATTTTAGCTTTTTGTCAGTGATGGAATGAAAACTTGGGTTGTCAATTTTTTTTAGTCAGTGGATGTATTTAGTTTGGTCGTTGATCTCGTGGACTATTGTGGTCACAGGAAAGTCTGGAATACATGGTTTTGGTGTCTTCACCAAAGTTCCACATCGAGCGGGAGACATGGTAATTTTCTCACTACCTTTTCCTTTGAATTGATAAGGAAGTAAAACAGGTTAATGTTATTTTTTTTTGTTCTATAGGTAATTGAATATATTGGAGAAATCATTCGGGCTCCAGTAGCTGACAGGAGAGAGCATTTGATATACAATTCATTAGTGGTAAGTTCCTGCATTTGTTTGAATGCCTCTCCATCATTATGTTATTGGTGGACTTTGGTAGTTAGGCGCCTGTCATATTAAAGGATTTCTGTTGGAAAATGGTTCAGAAATATGGTTTCAATTGCAAGATCTCATGTATACCATCAGAAGCAGTGATATTTTCTGTTTAGATAAATAAATAATCAATGGAGTAATTTTCCAAATAAGAATGTGCATTCTGTCAGAGAACATTGTTCTTTTTCTTTAGAGCTGGTACCTTGTTACCGAGGACACAGGAGCCTTTGACGAGATAATTGTTATGCTTACCAAACCTAAGGGTGTGATTGTTTATGGATTTAACTAGTTTTTATTTGGTTTGTTTTTTTATCTATAGTTAACTTTGAAAAAAGTGGTATGGTTACTTGTTAGTGGATGTATTAAAGTTGATTTGATATAAAGTAGGAGAAAAATGATTGGAAGTGATGGTTAGTTAAAATTATGTGAGTGGATGAATAGTGAATTAAAGTTGATGTGATGTGTATAAATGATTGGTTTGTATTATTTAATTATATTGATAATATGAGAGATAGTGGGGTTGGGTTATCATCTTCAACAGTTAACCCTAATTCATCATTCTGATTTATGGGTTATCATCTTCACAGTACATCTCCTACCATTGGCTTGACTGCTACATCCCTTAGTTTATTATATGAATTAATTTAATGGCTCTTTCCTCTAGAAAGACTGATAAACTTTATAGTTCATGAAGATGCACTAATCTGTACTCTTAACATGCTTATTGTGCAGGGAGCGGGAACATATATGTTTCGAATTGATGATGAACGTGTTATAGACGCGACCCGGGCTGGAAGCATAGCACATTTGATAAACCATTCATGTGAAGTAAGTTATAAATTTAAATTTTGTTGTGAAGATTGTCTGGCTTGTGTTTCCTGTTATTTAAAGGTTATTTGGTCTTTCTAACTTGTAGTTCACTGATGACTCTTCTTTTTGTGGTGGATCTGTAGTACATTTGAAGTGCTAAGTTTTGATTGAATGACTTTTGATCTAATCGTAAATCATTAGTGAGATGCTGCCACTGGTACGCGAGTGTGGAGTTACCCTCCGGTTTAGACACATAAGAGTTCTAGTTTTGGGATTTTTAGATTAATTATATCTTACCTTTTTAAATATTAAAAAGGAAGACAAAACTCTGAATTTTGAAAGGTTTCCACCAAATATGATGATGCATTACTGCTTTTATTTGAGTTGTTTGTTTATTTTAGGAAAATGATGAATTAAAAACGTTCTATGTTTGTGGTCTGAATTTCTGATTTTGTGTCTTAGAGATGAGTCATTAGTGATGAATGCTTGGAACCCGTAAAATAACTTGCTGCATTAACTTGCACAGTACATTTACTATTTTTTTTCTGTCACGTTAAGTAGAGCGCTTTTAAGGGTCTTGTTATCAGTGAACTGTGTTTCAAATGTGAATTTTGTTTGTATAAAAGAACCCACCAGTAAAGATTTATCATGAGAGGTGACATTTGGAGAATGTCATGGGTGAGCTAATTTACTACTGAGTGTTGGTGAAATTTCTCTGATTTGCCTTTGATACACCTTTACCTAGATTGATCCATGTATGGGATGTATTTAGTCGGGGAATATAATGTTCACCTTCATTCAGCATCATGTTACCTATTACCAGATCTAAAAACATTTTTGCATGTTAGCTTGCTTGTTTTTTTTTTTGTTTTGTTTTACAGGTGTTTGCATGAAGAAGATGCCCTTATCCTTCTTTGCTAATTTCCTGCCATCATTGTTACATTCCATAATGCGATTCCTCTTTTCTGTCAAAAGCTCAAATATTATTGCTCTCTATTTCAGCCAAATTGCTATTCAAGAGTGATTCTTGTCAATGGTGACGATCACATAATTATTTTTGCTAAACGAGATATTAAACAGTGGGAAGAGCTGACTTATGACTACAGGTTTGCCTCCTTGGCCCGGCCTTCAACTATCTCTTTGGTCCCCAGTTGTCTCGATATACAATGTTCAGTTTTCTTCCCTTTTGCAGGTTCTTGTCAACTGATGAACGGCTAGTTTGCAGCTGTGGATCTTCTAGATGTCGAGGTATTGTGAATGACATTGAAGCAGAAGAACGAGTGTCAAAGCTATATGTATCACCCAGTGAATTGCAAGACTGGCAAGGAGAATAATAGAGGTACATTAGTAATATGAGGTATAAATACTGAGTCCAACAAGGGCTGATATATTTGCCAAAAAACCTTGCTGATTTTGATATTACAAAAAATAGCCCCCAAGTTAATTTGCTGTTTCACATTTAATCCTTTCATAAGCAAACATTTTAAATTTAGTAACCCTTTTTCACATGTATATGACTATATTACAGTTGATTAATAGGATGCCAAATCAAACCTCAGATGTCGTTTTAAGATATACTGTTGAGGAAGTTGATGCCTGCCGCCATACTTTATGATGTCCCCATGACACGACTAATCGTCCATATTTTGCAGAAATGCAATTTTATTGGCGAATTTGTGGAGAGGCTAACATCATGTACTTGTTATCCGGCGAACATTGTTTAGCACTTATTCAGAAGGCCGAAGGAACAACCTATTATTTTTCTCCTGTCTAATTCGCATCATATCTTGGAAACAATGTACAGGACCAATAAGGATATGCAATTTGTTCTGTAGTAAAAGAAAAGGAAAGAAAAAAAAAGGTAAAATTTACCCTAGTATGAGATTGTGACATTTAGATCTGGCAGAAATGCATTGAGGTGTGTAACTATTTTAAT